GAGCAGGCGGAAATTATACGCAATAAATAAAATGTATGGAAATTTTAACAGTAATTCTCTGCTGATTACATGCGGATTGACAGACTTGCAGACAAGTATGTCGAAGCAAACAGGGATATTTATGCTATTATATTTTCTTTTAGAATTCGACTGAAAAGGTGTCTCAGTCGGTCTCATCTTCGCTCTACTCTATGTGAAATTTTATAAAATGCGATAAGCTACAATGTACATAACAAACACACATAAATTATTTACTTTCCTTCTCTATTTTGGTGTCAAATCGTAAACACGACCTAAAAAAAATTGGAAGGTCCCCGATCTCGAGGGTGAAAATAATGAATTCAGATTCAGTGATTTATCGATGTCTGAGACAGACTGCTGCTATTGTCGCCATGGAGTGAGACAATGTCAGTCGAACTGAGTCCTCTGTCCATCCCCCACACCATATACGAGAGAATGTGAGACGGAGGTGGAAATATACTGAAACCACAAATCCCACCCAGATGGACTGACCTGGGCGCCTAACAGCTTGAACCATGCGGCACAACCTTGGATGAAACTTGGTTGTGCCAGGGCCAATGAATTACTATCAGAATCTATAGATCCGACATGACAGAAACTCTGGCGTGTTTTGTGTTTCCACGTTACAAAATTAATTGACTCTCACACACTAAACTTTTCCGCCTTAGAGAGGTTACGTTACCTTTCCAACACTGCTATTTTTACAAATAATATTTATAGAGATTCTTTAACCGAAAACACACAAAATGTAAAAAAAAAATATATAAATGGACAGAGTTACTGAACTGCATAAACGGATCAAGATTTTTTTTTAAAAAAAAACGAAGCTTGTGGAACGTGAATCATGCAATTTAATTTGTACCCAGTCTGCAAGCTTCGCCATGGTTACGACAGCCCTGTAAATTATTACATCAGTTGCTACAGCTTCTTCGTTCCTGTTTTAGCAGACATCAATATAATATGGGCTTAGTATGGAGTTCACAAAATGTCATAGGGTCTACTAACTCGAAAGGAATGGCAGATGGCAGGGAAATATACTGTAAAGATACATCCAAGGGATAGATCTCTTCCTCATTTAGGCTTACTCCTTTTAAAGAACTCCGTATTGTGCCATGTACCATATCAGAAGGCGAAATTGATATTTGAAAACTTGTATTACAGACATCAAATTGGGTGAATGAGATAGCGCAATATAATATGAAGGGAATACATTACTTACTATGTCTAAGAATAGATGAGAGATAATATTAAAACGGATATTAAAATTGGTATGTAGCTATAAGTCTACGCGGCGTTACAATCCATAAGACCATCATCGATATTTGTTGTTCAATAAATTTTTTTGTTTTTTTAATAATATTCCATTTTTATGATGGACTAATGCAATTTCTCTTGGGTGTTGATCGGCAAGAAAATGTTTGCATGAAACTTAATACACGAAACCAGTTTCATGTAATTGGATCCTTCTGTGTTTGATCCACCACAGAGGAAACGTAAAAAACATTACATTAAAACTGAAGAAATGGGAACGGGAATTTTGAGTTCGTATGAATAATAAAATCTCATAAATAAAGTTTATTCTAAAGGTTGGATTGACAATCACACAACAAATCTGTGAGCCATAAGTATCATCATTAACGAACTTCTATCAGTGCAAGCCACGCGTCTGAATAAACAGTTCCCTCATCAGTGGTATCTAATCGAAATGCATTGCCATTAATTTGACGAAGCCAATTTCCAAAGCAAAACGGGTCTATCAGATGACTCTTCTTATTTGTAGAGAACAAACGAAGTATGAGAACAGCATGAGAAAGAAATTGAAAGGATTCTGGGCTGTAGGCAAGAGGAGAAAAAACTCCTGAAAACAAGACGAAGGCAGAGTTAAGTTAGTATTGGGTCTGTACAGGGTGCATAATATAACTTTACCCGTTTGTCACAAATTATCACATAAGTCCTGTGTCGTCAACAGTTTCTGTAGTGTTCTGTCTGACGACAGGTCCATATGAACAGGATCCTTCCATCCTTTTCTCGGACTGGGACCTGTTCATATACGTTCTTGGCAGATGATCCAGAAGTGGTTTGCCATTGCCTTCTTCTGTGTGTGTGTGAGTGGAGTAATTGTTGGGATGCCACGGAGGAAAACTCCGTGTTGCCTAGACCACGGCCTTGCCCAACACAAGTTATAAATCTGAGCACCACCGGGAGTTGAACCCGGGACCCCCGGCTTACAAGGCTAGTGTTCTGACCACTAGACCACCGTGGCGGCTTCGTCAACAGTAAGTGATCTAAGTTTAAAAAAAAACATGTAGGATTTGGGGTTTTCACGGCGGTAGTCTGGTAGAAGTTTACCGACGTTTCAGTGGTCCTTGCTGCCTCCATCATCACGGCCGTCAGGACTTCTGTCTGAAACGTCGGCCAACTTCTATCAGATTACACGGCGCAAAAACTTAGAAGACAACCATCTTCAGACTCACCACCGAGAATACGAACTAAGAGCAGATTACATTCTAGAAAAGCCTAATACATTACTGTTTTAGAAACTTTTTCACTCACGCCTCACTGGAAAAGACTAGTTGTGTTCTCAACTGTACGATAAATACATCTACTATTAATAAAGATAAATCTGTTACAAAACTGTTAGTGTTCTCAGGGTAGTAATATTATAGGACACATAGAATGTGTTCAGATTCCAATTTTTGGCATGAAATCCAGTGCATGTTCGTTTCCACATAATACAATGGCTGGTATACCTCACCGTATTACGACTTGCAGAACCATTATCGTTTGGCTCGCATCAAGACGGATGGGGGAATGGGGCATTATCAAAACGTTGGCTTTCAGAGCCGGTGAACACGAATCGAAGCGGAAATGCACACGGCTGCTAATCCTCGAGCACATTTGGGGATCGGATGGGGATAGCCTTCAGTAAATTTCTCGGTATTTCTCAGGATTTTTACCTCAACCTGACATCAGAATATTAAAAATCCAGCAGAAGTCGGCCCCAACGACTATGCAAAACGCAGTAGTTTCAATTTTCATCTGAGAGTCCTATCAAAGTCAGGAGTTAATTTCTAAAATGACTGTGTAATAGAACTGACTGTTCCTACGAAACTTTTACGCATTTACTATATATGTATATATATATATATATATATATATATCTGTTTCTTCCTGTGGTTTTATATGTGAGTCCTTGCAAGAACATCCGCTAATTTTCTAATGATAATCATAATAAACTTTACGTGACAATTTCAATATAAATGCTTCTAAGACAATAAAAAGTTCTTGTGCCCCATGAAATTGTTCTTACGTTCTGCGTCTCCTTCAAAAGAACCGCCTGTTCCTTCCCTATTCATAAATATCATGTTTCCGGTACGGAATACAATTTATCGTAGGTTAGGGAATTAGTTCGCTTGTGTTAGGTTTGGTGAAAATTTTTCAGAATTTAAGAAAAATATAAAAAAAATTCAAAATCTCATAACATTAAATATTTTCGAACATTTCCAAAAAATTGCCATAACTTCTACACTTTTTTTTCAAATTTCTTTGTAACGGGCAGGTTTGTTAAGGGATTTGATTTAGGTACGTCGTTAATAGAGTGGTAATGTCAATACTGGTCCACCCGGAGACGGCTAAAACCCATATCGTAACCACTAAATGCAAAAAAGTATCACTAAATTTTGTTATTTGTAAATATATTTACTGCAAATTCTACAGGTTAAGATAATCGCGAACTAAGACCTACAGAAAGTGTGTCGAGCTACTAGCGGCACACGCCATTATTAACAAGATTGTACGACGATGTAACTTACCTCGTGTTTCCCATTTACTTGTAGACCGGATTTTAAAACTTCGATCCCGCACTCTGATTAAGTAACTTCAAAGAGATTTTTTTAAGCCGTGCATTTTTGTCAAACAATAGCCTGTTATGTGTTATCACCCTGAAATAAAAATTCAGAGAGTTCATCAGATTTCTGGCAAGATTTTAAAAGGTTTATACCAACCACACCTTAAATCAAAATTCTCAAAATATTCCAGACATCAGACATGAATTTTAAAAAAAATATTTGGAGGACGTTTAAAACAAACTCGTCAAGATATGCACCGAATGAATCCTATTCTCGGCGTGCTGTGGCCATTAGCGATGTGCTTTTCAATTTTTAAAAACAATGAAATCAATTTAATGAACATTCTACATACGACCTTCCTGAAATTTCCAGCATATATTTTTACTGTGATCAGTTCCAAACAAATAGAATGCGTACAACACATACAATTTCACACATTGGAATACTTATAAATATCAGCTGTGAAAAGTAAATGAAAATATAATTATTTATGACCTGAATCCTGATTTTATAACGGCAGTTTAGACGAAAATATAATTTTTGTAAAATTAATAACCTGAGTGGAAGACTCTAGTTATGGTCATAAACGAGTTTAATGTAATAAGTCATAATTCATGAACTAAAAACAATCACCAAGACTTCTTACATAACTGCCTTGCTTAACAGCTACACAAATTTGGAATTTGTTTGTTGTATGGATGCAAATCACCCCCTTAAATCCAATCTTATTGACGTAGGAAAATGTAATTAGAGAACACTAGGATTCTAGGCAATTTCCCTATCCAGTTAATAGTCCAGATGATTAATAATGCAGTGAACATAATTTCAAAATTGTCATGACATGACCTAATCAAAAGTACTAATCCAGTATCTACCAGACTGAGGAAACATTAAGACAACCAGTATTTTGGCAACGTTTCGAACCCAGAACCTTAACGACAAAGAATATTAACATGTCATATCACAAGTTTTTAAAAAGAGAAGGGGTTTTAATACCTTGCTTAGTTATCTCTTAAAAATTCTAAACAATAAATTACAAAGCCTAAATCATATTTTAAATATCGTTATAGCTTGAACATATGTTCAAAAATTGACTAGGCAGTTTGAGGTTACTACACACAAAGTCACTGCAAGTATCCACCATAAAGACAATTCTTGTTACCAGACGGATTAAACAAAAACGAATGCCAGGAAATCCTACTGAATAAGGACGAACTAAAGTGCAACTCAGTCTACCTCAAACACGGGACATTATTTAAATTTTCGTTTTGGTAGGGTACTTACACAAACACCCTCGGTAGCAAAGACTTCTGAAACGCTGGCAAACTTCTATTTCGCTACAACCAAGATGATAGCCATCTTCATACTCACCACCACAACATCCAATCCTACAGGAGTACCAACTGCAGGTCCGAGAAACATCCTTTGTCAAACACACCTTGTACTTATTTTTGGCACACTACCGACAATTCAAGGTGTTCAAACCTTTATTTAATCAGGAGTCTCCTCTTACAAAACTTGTAGGGACATAATATAAGTACCAATACTACGCACCACCAGGAAGCTGTACGATCAGAATATCCCAGCCACTTCTATTACCACTCGAAGCAGAATCACATGCACTACACACCTGCATTTCAACCTATGGGACTATTCGCTTTGGCATCAAGACATTGTAAAATTTAAATTTAATACAAATAAACCTGTAAACATCAGTCACTATTCAGTTAACATGTGGACAGAGAAATTAGAAGAAATGTTTATCCCACTGAACATTTGGCATTAATAGTCTTCTCGGGCTATCAGCCCTTTTAGACAGTGATTAATCACGGTTTCGATGACCATCTCTGGCCTCATTTTCAAATGAGGTCAGAGATGGTCCTCGAAACGTTGGCAATTAATCGTCTAACACGGCTGATAGCCCGAGATGACTTTATTGATGAAAGCCGCCGTGAAAGCTCCACATCATGTAACACTTAGCATGTCACAAACCACCTTCCCTACAGGCCACTCAATCACATTCATTTCGACAACAGCAAGACTAAAAATCGACCACCACCGCAAATGGCACCTGTGGAAAGATCAGGGGGTGGTCTTGGGATCTCCTGAGGTTTCAGATCCAGTGACAATGCTGTAACAAAATTACAATTTCACGTTTCCTGGGTTCAGACTCAAACACATTGCTAAAAGGATTGGGAGCAAACATTCACACAATGGATTTTACAGGACAATTTAATTCCACATGTTCAAATTCTTAAATAGTTTCAGAACCAACACCTTTCAGACCCTTCTGGATAATTAGAACAAAAATACAATCCCATACTATAACAATACACTTAAAAAAAATTGTACACTTTGATATCTACACCATTTCAAATTTCATATTCCAAGCTACTGACATCAAATATGACAACTCAACACACATTTCTTCAGCTGTGTTACTTTTTACTCTACCAAAATTATCTCCAACTTCACAAAGGAAAGTGTGCTAAAAAAATAAAAAATATAAGCACAAGGAAGGACTGGTTAATCAAGGTATACAATTTCATTCCATTTGTCACTTTAGACAATACTTTTATTCTGAACCAAATTTGAAAGATAATTTACATTTTACTTTTTCGGTGATGCCTCTGCTGCCCCCTTCGTTTCTTCTGTTGGTGCCTTTGGCTCCTTAGCTGGTGCCTTCAGCCCCTTATCTGATGCCTTCGGCTCCTTAGCTGGTGCCTTTGGCTCCTTAGCTGGTGCCTTTGGCTCCTTAGCTGGTGCCTTTGGCTCCTTAGCTGGTGCCTTTGGCTCCTTAGCTGGTGCCTTTGGCTCCTTAGCTGGTGCCTTTGGCTCCTTAGCTGGTGCCTTTGGCTCCTTAGCTGGTGCCTTTGGCTCCTTAGCTGGTGCCTTTGGCTCCTTAGCTGGTGCCTTCGGCCCCTTATCGGATGCCTTTGGCTCCTTAGCTGGTGCCTTCAGCTCCTTACCCGGTGCCTTCGGCCCCTTAGCCGATGCCTTTGGTCCCTTAGCACCCTTGGCACCTTTAGCACCCTTGGCTCCTTTGGCACCCTTGGCTGATGCCTTTGATTCCTTACTTTCCTTGTCTGGTGCAGGTTTTGCCTCCTCCTTATCTTTAAGTTTCTTGGACTTCTCTGCCTTAGCCTTCAGTATAGCGGCACGACGCAACTTCTGCATCTTCAGAGCCTTGGCTTCTAGAGGCGTTGGCTTCAATGTGATCTAAAATTCATATGTATCAAGTGGAAGTCACATATTCTTACATAATTACACGAGCAACGTATATACACTCACCATAACCGGTGATCCTCTGGCACAGTGGTTTTGGTGATGCCAACGATACCTTGGGCACAGCTAACACGGAAAACTAACTAGACATAGCATAGTCCTTCTGCAGCTAGTAATCACTCAGATAACCTCCCATTTTATATCCCCAAGATTAATTGTAGCATTAACGTCCCATCAATGCCTAGATCTACCAAGTGGTCTCTTCCTGTCCTGTTCTTTTGGGTATTGGTGCAGTACTGACCAAAAACCCAGAAGAACATCACCATTAACATGTTTACGTAATATTACTTTAAAAACAGTACAGTGGCGATCAGATTGTCAAAAGTAATCATGATTATTCATAACCCAATGCTCTGAAGTAGATTTTTCATCATTTCACCACTACATTCCTATCACGAGCACTGAACACATTCAAACTAAAAATACAGACGCATAATGCGTCATACATCTTAACCAACCACAAACACTACCAACATACCAAAAACCTCAAAAGTAACTACAATGATTTGTGGTATATCGCTTACTCTTTGCAATAAAATTACAAAAACCATGCGTCTCAATTTTCAAACTCATAATTAAACAAGACTAAATGTAGTTTTCCTATCATAAATTTTGATATGTCACATTAAAGTAAAAAATGTCTGTTTATATTTTCCACTACAAAATGCCTCCCTGTAGCTCTAGTAACTTATGACAGCCTTTGAAACAGGGTGCAAAAGAAAATATACTGACCCCTCTCCTTTTGGCAACCAGTTCTTGACGTTTGCGTCTGCTCTGGATCGATGTAAGAATTGCCTTGCGTTTCAAAACTGCAGCATACGGGTTCAGCCTCAGTAAAGCAGGAGTGTTGGTAAGTGGATTCAGCTTCTTCACACTGCGCTTTTGCTTTCTGAAAGATTTCTGTATTTCAATTCAAGTACCTAATTTGCTTACGCTAAAGTATAAGTTCCTTAAACATCTATCAGTCAGCTATAAACATAATCATGGTTTCTCATAACCCAATGCTCTGTAAAACTTGTTTCATCACGTAAGACTCGAGGTGTTCCCGAGACTAGTTTCCTGGGTTGCCACATTTTTCTTGAAGATATTACCAATGTTTCATAAGGAACGCCAGCTAAATCTGGTATTTCAAAATACGGCCAACTGAACACCCATTTTCTCAGTTATCATTAATGTAAACAGAGTTACACTGAACAAACTGTTAATGCCCTTTCACTAAATGTTCAACAAACTACAATTCCTGAATAATTAATATTAATACTTCATAAGTAATTTAACCAGTATTCAGGGAAAAGATTATGCACTCGCAACGAAATCTAAATTCAAAGCTTGAAATTCAGGGAAAAGATTATGCACTCGCAAAGAAATCTAAATTCAATGCTTGAGTGGCAAAGATTTCTTCTCAAAAAATGTCCTTGTCTTCCCAGAATAATTATCTGCTACTTAATGTTTCCCCAATTTTGGATTCTAACCCACTGTCCATAGAAGCATATAGAGATTCTTATTCTATATCAACTGCAACCAGTGCCCCTGGGCACCTTGAAAACATGTATAAGCCTGAATTGAACTCTTAAGACAACGCCAAATTATTTTCATATTTTACAAATAACATCTTTAACTTCCAACAGCCAAATCTTCATAAATATAACAACAACAAAATTTAAAATCAGCTCAATGAAAATTGTTAACAAAATACAACCTCCTGCAGAAAAATCTTGGCTCATTGGCTTGAAGATAACTTCAATATATGTATCAGTAAATGGGAAAAAAGAACTTACATTGGAGCACGCAGAACAGACCGTATCTCCTCAGCTTTCAGCAGGCGAGACAAATCTGTATTTGCCATTTTTGGCATAGGCAAATTGTAACCTTTCTTCAGTTTTGCTGTCTTACGCCAAGAACCATACAAATCATCCAATTTTGAAAAGGCTGACTGCGTCCAGATAACAAAGCGTCCCACATGACCTCCAGGAGCAAGTTTCAGCAGGTTCAATTTTGATACATTTATCATGTCAACACCAGGGATGTTACGGAATGCCTTCGTCAAACCCTGAAACCGAACACAAGAGCATTAAAAAACATACTTTCCCACTGCCCCACCCCATAAGAGCACCATTTTTATACTCGTCACAAAGAGAACCCGAAATCTCACCCCTTCGGAGTTGCTGCTAATATCTCAGAAATATCAAGTGAGCCCATTGTACTTCCTCCACCAAAACCCACAGATTGGATTCTTTGAAACAGAGATTACACACATTTCAAACTAATTCCATAACTAACATTACTATAAATTCTGACCGTCCTCAATCCACAAGCTTTAGCATCATGAGATAAAATGATGTGGACTGAATCAACAATTTCCTCACCTGATCTTGTCCATAAATGATGAGAGGACCACGCCTCTGGATGCGTCGACGGTTTCGCATCTTACCCTTGCCAGCACGAAATCTTCTGGACTTGTACACCTATAAATCAAATTGCATACCCAATATGCTCATCATGTCTCACTTCTAATACTACAAGGCATATTAAAGTGGACATCGGGATTTAATTAATAGTCAACACAGACATATAGAATTCATACTTCCTCAGAATAATTAAAATCTTTTATAACAAACCAACTATTTATAATCTTTCCACCACTTACTCAGATTTTACTCGTACCACAAACATTCAGGTTCACCTACCAATAACAATTCCAAGCATTCTGCATATTCAAATACTGTGATGGACCACAAACATTTAATGTATCATCGAAAATGAAAATTACATTATTATTTTGTCAAAAAATTTACCAGTGTTTATCAACCAAACCAACCACAAAGCCATCAGGTACAAAAATTTATAATAACAAAGCATCTTGGTTAAAGAATGGAAAACACTACCCATCTCATTATAAGACACATCTAAAATTCAGTAAAAGACTGAAGACAACATCACACTGCAAACCATACCTTCTGAATATCAGCCCAAGCCTTTATACGGCGCAAAAAGATGACGGCCTGTTTAGTCTTTGAGTACTCCTGCACCTTATCATCCACCACCAGAGGCAATTCTGGTATATCTTGTACTAAATGACCTAAAACCAGAAACTGTCTCATAAGCGCATTTCAACTTAAATAACTTAAAAATAGATAAATTCCAAGTCTTAACCCCCCAGTAAAAAATATACTTCCTACTTCTGTAATGCCTCACTTATTCAAAATAAACTACGAATTTCAGATTTTCCCCCCCATCTTAGGTAGACTACAGAATAAGACTGATAATTAAATGAGACTGACACCACCTTCGCATTCTCTGCTTATCGTAAGACACCTTGATCAACAGAAACTGACAGAGAATGTCATATTTATAATTAAAATACCACACTTCAGGGACATCCAAGCAAATTATAACTGCAGAGATGTGGTTTAAATAATAAGATCCCAACTATACTAAATACTAAATCTAACCTACCTTTACTCAGAGATCATCGAACTGCTGGCTTCTACACAAGGATGATAATGTTCTGGTTGGTCAGGGTTATCGCACATTTTGCAGAGAGATGAGTATTGTAACAATGAATCTCACATAAATTTACCTGGGATTAAACCCATGTCTCCACAGTCAGGAGCAGCCTGAGCCATGGCACAGCCTTCTATCAATGCACACATGAGCTTTCACAGCCTCAACCACAATGCATCATCACATTTCAAATAAGCAGAAATGTAATCTACCATTAAATGGGTAACCACATTTTTCTTTTTAGTTCTGCATACAAAATCACAAATTTGCCTTTCACCTTTCGACATCACGAGGGCAGGAACGCCACTTGCAGCAATTGCAGACACCAGGGCATAGCGCTTCTGGTTTATATTGATACGTCTGTGCCAACGACGCCACGGCTTGGTGGGAGCAAACATTCTTCCACCTCGGCACATGTTTCCAAAAGCTCCCTGACCTGAACGATGAGTTCCCCCACCACGTACACGAGGAATACGTGCCACGGCACGCCCCGTTCCCCATGACTCAGCACTAGTCTGATGACCTACAAACATCCATTACTGTTCAGCCGTACTTTAATATTATGCCAACTTACATTAACTTCAAAAATTACAACTGCTCAGTAACACCAACAATTACATAACACAATTTTATGGGAGACCCTGTATCTACAGGCAGGAGCTTTAATTCCTTATTGGTGTTGCATCTGAAACCAGCCAGACCCAATACGGAATTTTCCACACCTCAATACTATATGAATGCGAGGAATATAATACGGTTCCACTGTTTAGATCCTGTTATATTACAGCCCTTCTCTATCAACTACAACCATCATTTTCACTACAACCGATCACTGGGGGCAAAACAAAAATTCCAAAATTGGTGCTTCCACCTTTTCCTTCGCCAAGTCAGAAGACCACACCTGGAGGCGTAAATCACAACACAATACACAATTAAACGCATGCATTTCAGAACTATCACTGCTCTAGAACCCAAAGATTCAACACTGCCAATACCAAAATCCACCAATGCACATGATCCAGAGCCAGTTTCATCCATCTCACAAGACATTTTCATTATCCTACCATCTTCTCAGTCTTTTAAGAGAATGCCGTACAGTTTCCAACCAAATTCTGTATGCATTACTTATCCTCCAAATCCAAACCTTATTTCAATACCACAGAAGAAATCAAAAGCTTAGACCCTTTCACTGTTCTGACATCAACAGAAGGCATAAATTAAAATTGTAGTTCCACTTATGTGTGAAGGTTCATAAAACAAGACTACACGAATATAAAAAACAGTTGTGGAGTGACACTGCCCTCACCCAGCCAAAGATAACTGGGGGGGAACGCCTAGTCACCCATCTACTTTTGCACTTTCTTGGAACACCAAAACAAAACTGCAAAGGTGTGGACATTACCAGTGCTTGTACACACAGCATATATCATTCACATAATAAACAGATGAAAGATTCAACGCAACCTGTATTGCTGTATTCTGCTTTAATATACGTCACCAGTAAAGTCGAAGACAATCACTTGCTAGGTGAGAACACAATTACCATAGAAAGCACAAAAATTGGAACAACAAACACTTAATGCAGTATCACAACACAAAACAAAAACATGTCATAACATAGCCATATTTAATAAATAATTTGAGAATGTTATAAAATGTATACATGGGAATATAAACAAAAAACACTATAAATTGTGTTACTATTCAGCATAAAAATTATCACCATCCTATCTACTTTACAAAATTTTGGATGGGTGTGAAACATGGCCTCTCACTTTGAGGATAAAACAAATTACAGGTGTTAACAGAGTGCTGAGGAAAAGAGTCCCCAAGAATGATGAAACTAGCAAGAACTTTGTGGTTGAGAATGGTAACCAAATTCTCTTAGCACAGTGAAATAAAGAAAGCAATGAGCTTAGCATGTGGCTGGGATGAGAAACATAGACTGCATACAGAATGTTGGTATGGAACCTGATGAAAAACGTCAACTGGGAAGAGTAAAACAGTGACAAAATATAGTAAGATGTTTTTTATTACTGTGGGAGGGCTGGGAGGTGGACAGAACTGGCTTAGTATCACGCTGAATGCACATTTTCCTGTAAAAAGTTTTAAACATGCAAGGTCTATCAGTGCTGGTACCTCACAATGGTGGCTGATCTGTTACATGCTCGAAAATGGAGAACTTTAACTATAAATTTTCATTACTGTAAAGTTGGCAGTATGGCATCAAGTTCAAATAAGCTTTTCATTACGTTATTAAATTCTCTCCTGTTATGCTACTTCTACATAAAAAACACTTTCCACACAAACAATGTTACAATGTTAACTTCTAAAATTTCACTGTACCTGCATCCTTATTCACACAATATGGCTGACGATGATTCTTTGCCATGTTATCATGCACAAAGTTGACAATATCAGGCCTAATTGGGGCCTTGAAGACCGCAGGCAATGAAATGGTTGTGCCCAATGCCTCATTCTTGTCACTGTATACACTAATAAGAGGGCGGGCTGCTGACAGCGACTGAAGTAAAAATTACCAAATTAGTAAACTGTTACACAAGAACCATTTCTCAAAAATGGATATATCAGACATGATCTGTTGGATACTCTGAGATCTCTTACACAGTAAGCAAGAGAATGCCATGGTAACCACTTTTAATATAGCACATTTCAGGAACATCCATGCAAATGACACTTGCAGAGATGTGGACATATACAGTGCATGAACTAATATTCTTAACCTATGCATTCATAAACTTGCTACTTACTATACTGGTAGGTAAAATGGCCAACTTACAAAAGCAAATACATAAAATATTCTTAAAGCTTAGCAGAAAATTATTTTCACATAAACCCATATTATGCGTTCACTCACAACCAGAACCAAAGCAACGTGATGTTTTTTCCATTAAAAATTGAATATTAGGAAAGAGTCGGAGAGTTCTACTGACATTCTGTATAACTTACAATACCACTGCAATAACCATTTCCGCAAATCTAAATGTTCTCTTGTAGCCAAACAAATATAACTTCTCAAACAGTGCAAAACAAATTTCTGAGCCCATAACGTTTTAGTTTCCACTTTATACTTATACAAATTACATACAGTCCAACACCGTGGGTCCATAAAACAGTTACTTACTGCAAGCACCACGTGGTAGACAATACTAAAATGTAGCCTCCAATAATTAAACTTGTTACTTTACATTCAGGGTGTCCATAACATGCTTTGGGTTAGTATTCATAATCTAAGGCACATTAACTTACCATTTTTAACAGAATATTGTACACAAACTACCCCAACTCACACCTCGGCATGTACATCCGCCATACCAGCCAAGACCAACGAGAAAGATATACACGTAGTAACAAATTTCTAGACCCCTACTCTTTTGATGCCAATACAACAATATTTAAGTTCTTTAATTTTATTAAAGAAATATTCATATTAGTTCTCTTAAATACATAATCTTACAAGGAAATAAATATAATTGAAAAAGCTTAAGTTTATTTAAACAACATTTCACTACATTACTACATTTTCGTGCATTAATTAAAGAAGCCTCATTTTGTAAATATTGTCAGCCCTGTTAAAATGCATTTCCTGCTATTTTACACACGGGGTTTACACAACACTGTGCAAAGACTGGCAAGTGCATTCGATTTGAACTCAACTGTATCCTAGCGGAGCAAGGAATCACAGGTTTTTTTTTTGCTTATCGTTCAATATGAATTCACTTTTGCAGCATTAAAGCGTTGGTTAGCAGTGTGGTAGGACCCATGCATTCTTGATATTGGCTCTAAAAGTGGGCAACTTTATGCTTTGACTGCCTCTACCTTTACCCAGTACATTAATTGGTTCTGTCCAAGAGTTATTCTGGGCAGTGTTCAAGAAAAGTGCTCCAATGTCCATTCTTGGAGTCAAAGTACTCCCAATTTGCTACATGGTTTTGTTTAGCTACAGAATGAAATATTTCTAGTTTAAAAATTGTATTGTGGGGTCCACAGTGGCAGCGTGGGTCTTGTGCCCCTTGGCCGCAGGGACCGTGGGTTCGAATCCCACTCAAGCCATGAATGTTTTTCTGTGTTGTGTTGTCATGTGTATAGGTAGTGGCCTTGTGACGGGCCAATCCCTTGTCCAGGGAGTCCTACCGAAGTCCATAGATCAAGCCAACTGAAAAGTTGGGGATCCATAAAGGGTACTGGAAAATGTACAAACATTGTTAAAACTGGAAAAAGAAGAAAATTGTATTGCAATACTTTATTTAAGAACTTTAAAATAAAATTAGTGTCACAAATAAGCAATCCTCTACAATATACAATAAGAAACTCTACAAGTTTTCTAAGTCACATGCACTATTTTACTAGAATGCATATTAGATTGAACATCAATTTAAAAGAAAGTGATGTCTCATAGGTAATCGCCTTTTCTTTGTAGATGAAAGTACATTCTTTGCCTTAATTCTTGAAAGAGTTGCTTCTTCATCACTACTGATACCTGTTTCAAATTTTGATGATGTTTCATCTTCAGAAGCAGATGATACAATCACCTTTTTCTTACATTCATATCCTTTATCCTTCGACTGTCTATTTGTTTGTCTTTCATAAGTATCAAAGAGTTCATCCAGAGATGATGATGACACAATTGTTAAATCATGCTCTTTTTTAGAATTTTTTCTTGATGGTGTGAAGAGAACTTGAGACCCTTTCTTAGTTCCTTTGTAACCTTTCCCTTTTGTGCTACTTTTTCTGGCATCATTACTATTGTTTTCAGAATCTAAAACAAGGTTTTCCATGTCTGTTATGAGAGCTTGATTTACATTTCCCTTCAGTGAAATCTTACTTGAAACAGATGATGATGCATATCTACTAGAAGATTTTCCTCTGCCTCTTGTCTTTCTCACAGTCAATGCAGAATCAGGAAATATGTTCTCTACCCCTTTCTTTGATGTACATGGTTGCTTCCTAGCTACAATAGTTTTTTCATTATCCACAGGGGAAATATCCTTCATGCTGTTTATCCTTTCTTCTTCACTCACAGCCTCTTGTGATGTTTTATTCTTGTCAGTGAACTGGGCTTTACTGTTCTGTTTGGAATACGATCTTAATGGTCTAGAAGCTTTCAGGACAGGTGCATCCACGTCACTGAAGATTTCTGATGTACTTGCTTTTCCGTTTAACGCTCCCGTTTGTTTTAAAGCAGGCACAGTCTCTGAGATTCCAAACACTTCATTATCAGAGTCACTAAGGGATACATCTAATCCTTGCAAACCAAGATGTGCCAAATTAATCCCTTCATCATTAGTTACATTTGGAGTCACACCTTTCACATTATTGACAGAGGAATCTCCTTTTTTTCTGTTCTTAATGGAAGACTGATGAATTTTGGAAAATCTAACAGGGCTGTCATTAGTGAATTCAAGTGCTTGGCACACTTTATTAAGAGATTCATACTCTGATACTCTGTGTCTTGTACTTGTCTCCTTCTGAGACGTTTTACTCCTTAATGTTCGAACTGAATTTTGCTTCACTCTTGACTTGCTAACAGGAGGTTTCTTTGTTTTTGCAACGATTGGAGAATCCTCATAGACAATCAATGGTTTCAACTGCTCCTGTTTCAGAGCATAATTTTTTTTTTCCTGAATCGATTTTCTATTCACTGTTTGTTTATTTCCTTTCCGTGAATCATCATTCTTAGTTTCAGGTAAGACCAATTTCCTTAGCTTTATTTTATAGGGTGAACGATGATGATTCTTGACATTACTAATAGAAAGAGGAAGGAGTGCATGATGGGGCAATGAATTAGTATTTAAAGGTGTCTTGATGGTTTCAACAAATCGTCTGGGAGTTTCTTGTACGTGTGATGTGCAGTCTTCTTTGTCTGGGGAGAAAAAAAGAAACTAATTCAGCAAAAATAAACTTAAATTCAAACAGATTCCTCAAAATTATGGAGGGCATGAAAGTTGCTCTTTCTTAATAGTAATATATAGTTAGTTAGTTGTATCAGACACATTATGTATGACCACTGTTCTACACTTCACAGAGTAAAGAAATTCACTTACATCTCTTTGGCTCTAATGAATAAGCTTGTGCTTGTTGAATAGAAAATGACTGGACCATTAAATCAGCCACAAGGTGGAGATGTGACACCTTCAAATTCTCTGCCTCCCGTAAAGCCTCCGCATTCAGTTTCTGAGCTTGGACATAGGAGCCACTTGCAGCTATGAAATCTGCATAACCTCTTGTCACTCGAATGTAACCTAAGACACAACGGAAAACTCATTTATTCAATGTTTCTGCACACTACTATTTGAGCAGACCTTTAATAAATCTACTTTCCTTCTTCAAGATTACAATTTTCATATGTTTCCCTTTCTTTTAATTTCAAATTTGGTTCTTGATGTTATGTCTACTTCAGATAACTATACAAATCAATAATACTAAGGCTTCATTGCTCACTGTTATTGAACACAATGAAAGAACATTAAACGTAACATGTTCAATGTAAGCTTCAAAGTCACATTGCAACGAAGCATTAACAGAATATGACAAATCTGATCTTACTGCTGTCAAACTCATTCAGTATTGCCCTTAATTTTTTTATTGACACCTTCCGCTGAAGTAAATGATTTGATCTTTGTGTAGAATGACCTATTGTAGTAAAATTATGTATTTATACTCTTGCGGAAAATAGGTGTCAAAACTGTCAGACCTAAATAAAAATTAAACTGGTTTGACAATTCTTAATATAATTCTCCAGTATAAAATTTGATCTAAACCAGCTTAGCAATTCTTGACTTGTTTCATAGACAATGCATTTTAGTAGTTTCTACACTGGGATTCAAATATGCTTAGAGATTAATATTATATACTGCTCACATATAGCTGATATTACCAAGTTTTAAAGGATGAAGTAGAAGTGCAAAACACTCGGTGCAGTCGCTCTGACCCAGCACAAGCTGATGAACCTTACAGCTCAGTTTCTTGATCAACTCATGTTGCTTATAAATCAATTGTTTGTACAGCTGCAGACCGCCCTCAAAGAACTCCAGCGCTTCTTTTAATTCTGACTGAATTTTGTATACCTCAGCCTGATGAAACATAAATTTAAATTATTTGCAGCTGACATTGAGCTTCAGATTAAGACAACTTATAAAGTTAGCAGGTTCCATAAATTGGTAACTATAGAATTTAGGGCCACTGTGAGGAAATTTCCAGTAGTACAGTTACCAATCATATAAGATTTGACAGATATAACCTCTAAACTACATATTTTATTAATACATAAAACTTCCACCTGACCTGAATAAACACAGCACCCATTGCAAGGGCTTGCAGTGCAAATGTGTTGCACATATTACATTTGCAGTCAGCACCATGTCTTACAAAGCTTGGAAGAACAAATGTAATCTTGCGTAGATTTGGCGATGCACATGGACTTCTGTTGCGCAGTGGCAGTCTTGAAATATCCCTGAATTCTGCTATCCTTACAGACTGTAAAATAATTCATCTTGTTTAATAAAACGATTACTTTTTAATATATTTTATAATAAATTTCCTTAATTTGTCTCTCCTATCATCACTCTCCCCATTTATTCCTTCAATTTATCCCTTGCTTTCTCCTGTATTTTCCTCCATTCCTTCCATATCTCATTCCCCCTCAATTCTTGTCATATCTTCCTTGCTACCACATCCTTTTTACTTGATACATCACCAATTATCTAAATATATGTACATTTCTTCCAATAACTTCACAAACTAACATTAAACAACATAATAACAGTATCACCTAACGCCTGTCCTATATAAGGCTTCCAAAACACATCAAACCAACACATTAACCATGAAGATGGCATCTGCAACATTTGCTGAAGCATTGAAAACTTTCAACATTTGATGTGGCTATACCAAAAGCTGGACTTTTACAAGGTACCCGACATTTTCAGCGTGCATTGTATCTGACCTCATTAATCTGTTAAATGGCTCTCGGTATCTCTACAAGACTTCATACTAAGTTTTTATCCGACTACTCTGGTCTGCCTGTCAATAATCACTCTACTACAGTCATGAGATATAAAAAATACCCATCTACCTAATATGATATCTTTAGTTGGTACTCCACAACTGATCAAGAGGACAAATAGATCCAGAACAAAGAAGTCACCAGTAACTTACCTTCTAAATATTCCCCTAATACAAAATACATCTTTATCACTTACTCTTTCAAGAGTTAGTCGTTCTAACTGAGAAGAGAGTTCTGAATTTTCATCTGTATTATGATTCTTGCTAGTAATGTCATAAGGTTGGAACCTGCTCTCCAGCTGAAGCAACCCTTCTATGCCCTGAAGCTTAACTTGGGAGTCATTCACATTACAACACATCACATCCACTTGCGCCAGTAAATTCAGGAATTGTGCTGTCCTGCAAAACAAGGAAAAATGACAGACCACTTATTCCGGAGCATCGTTTTTCTGCGAGAACGAAATACCTTCCTCGTTGGCATGGACTAAAGACCATACTGCAAGAGTTAGTCAAATGAAAGGAAGCCTACCTTTGTTAGCCCGTCAAAAGATTCATATCATTGTACCCGTTCAATAATTTCTTGTAGACACTTTTCTAGTGGTTAAGAACTACGAGCTTTCTTTAGATACTGGATAGAACAGACACAATTAACGAAATACCAAAGCAGTGACTAGACTGTTTCCATGGATAACATAGTAAGCTGATTTTGTGCTTTGAGCTGATTGAGAATATTTTCATACTTTGGTTCAGGTTCACTTTATAAAGTCTAAAAGAAAATTGCCCGTAAATGTGATGTTAACACACAGCTATTTGCTAGTACAAGAGGTTATATACATATGAGAAATCTTTAGGATTTTGGTTCAGATAATGACAGAAATTTTGAGAATTATGACTTATTCTCTGTTATTTTCACATCTCATTGATAACCATGTTATAAAATAACAAATATTGCTCCAAACACATTATTTTTTTTAAACCAGCATCATACCTTAAGTAATTACAAGTTAGGAAACAAATTTGAATGCATTTCAATGATATTACAAGTACCCATCAGAAAAATTAAGTCCCGCGCTGTAGCATCATGCTTCGGACCGGTGATACGGAATGTGCACTGGTTCGAGTCTCGGGAAAAGAAATTTCTCATGAGATTTTTGACCGGTACCAACCCAGCATCATGAGGAAATTGGGGAGCTACAATGGGTAGCGTAATCCAGTCATGAAAACTAGCAATGGCTGGGGATTCGTCATGCTGATCACACATCACCCTATATCTGGTTGGATGATCGTTCACCTCTGCTTTGGCATGTGAAGGTGAGGCCAGCAGCCAGCTAGTCGGCTCTAGCTCTCAGAGGGCTGTTACGCCACGGATTATGTATCAGAAAAATTATTTTTCCAAACTGTACAAATTCTTGTTTTATCAACATTTCACCGTGTAAGCAATACAAACTTACCTAGTAGCCAGCCCCAGCTTCTGAGAAAGAATAAGGTCTCCTTTCATAAAGCAACGAGCTTCACGTGGCCAGAACAATTCCAAACACAACTGTCCCAACCACTGGGATACTTCCAACATCAAATATAACACTTGCGCATTCTCCGCTGGTGTCACTGCAATAATAAATGCAAACTTGTTAACTGATGCACTTCATATGTAATATAAGTTATGATAATTCCTCTAGGCCTTCACTCCACCTTAAGGCAATGTCCTACGTAAGCGATAACAAGTGAGCTACCCGAGCTGCATAAGCAGCATGGGGTGTCATATGAAGTGGGGAATCGCTTGTTGTGTCCTACGTGAGAGACCGCAATAGAAGCACATGGCCTTCCTGCGCATGCACCTTCCCTGTACTGCGCGGTCAGAGCTTTCTTGCGCATGCGCCTTACTGCCCAGCGCAGCGACTCGTGCGAAAATATCAAAATATTTGATCTCGGACTTTGGCCGCTTCCCTCTCCTGACCGCTTCGCTGGAACCTAAGACAGCACCACACAAACAGCCAGTTTGATACTTCCGCTTCACCCACGCAACTCGCACCGGTCGCATTTAATCGCTCACGTAGGACAGCAGGTAAGAGAAATGGTCTTTGAATATATTTTTCACAAATATTCTGCTACTCAAATCACCATCTCACTCTAAAATTCAACTGTACCACACATATGTATAAATGCAGATAATAAAAGTCTGGAACTGATTTTCATTGTACATCAGTGATGAACATAAGTTACACAAAAAGCTTGTATCTACATTCATAGTTTCTTTGTCCCATAAATTTTCATTTCAGTGATTTCTGTTTCCTTGCACTGCATGTCATTTCATTGGAATTTCCCAGGTTTAACAGGCTATGTTCAGCCAGCTTTACGTTATTTGCACTGTTAGAGTGGTCTAAGTTTCTTGCGAAACAACAGATAAACCAAGAGGGCCCCTTTACCTTCTTGCTGTAGAATTACATTATACTGAAAAGCCTTACTTTTGACTTGCTTGAGAAGAGACATGGCATTGCCATATGTGCGAGTTGCTTCATTCATGACGTCTCTATCACTTTTACTTGGCCATGTTACAATGTCTGGATATGGTACACACATGCACTGACAAATCAAGAGTGCAGTTTGGACATAAAGTATACTCTGTGTAAAATGTTGAATGTTCTCTCGTTTGGTGAATGCGACCAATTTCTCCAAACAATCTCCAACCTCCACAAACTGTAACATGATAAATGACAATGAGTTCAGGACAGAAAATTTAATTCAGCATATGCAAGATCAGTAACTTTTAATTAAAGGTGCACTTAAGCTAAATATCTGAGAGGGTTGCATGTCCATGTTTAAACTCTGCCTTGTTGAGATCAGGGAAGACACTTTGGAACTTATATGGAAAAAGAAGTTCTGGTAGAACTCCTGATACTTAATTTCTTTCAAATGTTTCATACTATATGACAAGTCAAGCAGAACAACAAATTAATAAATGACTTGAATCTTCAAGTCTCTATTTTAATATTTCAGTCAAGCCTGACGTCATACAATTTGAAAATAATTCGGGCTGTTTTATATCCATAATATTCATACATCCGTTCAATACGTAAGCATAAATAACTGTTGATATAGCAATACCATTCCGAAGAAGTCGCCGTGCTGTTCTCGGTACACAGCACACTGTCGCAAACTCCAGGGAGACTTAGAGGAAATTTGGTCACACATAATATGTTTGAATGATGTTTCCAATTCAGGGACAAATGTAGTAGTTATGTCCCTCCCTGTTTTGTCTCATCCCTGCCCCCTGCCTCTCGGTCTACTTTTGTCACACATACAGCCCAGCAGATGTCAGGCTCGGTTTATATGTGGTATAACGAACATGTCCTAATAAAAATGTGAATTATAAAATACTCATACCTTCTTATTCCTGAGACAGTGACGACCTCTGGAAAGCCAGTACTTATGGAACAGAAGCTGAGAAGCAAACTCCTTATCATCTTCAAGTTTCAATAATGAAGTGATATCCTGAGCTCTGGTCAGCAACTTACATTCTGTCCTACCGCAGGTGCACCATTCTAATATGTGACACAGGCCTACAGGAACACGTAAGTGAAATAAGGAAACAAGAAATATTACACAACCTGAAAGTTTCACACCACTGTTGCATCTGTAATTTTTTAATGAACAAAAGAATGTTTCATATATAAACACGGATATTTGCTTATAATGTTTCTATAACAAATTAACACCTTCCTGCAATGGTAAATTCATTAGTGATATAAAATGGAGCAGTAGATAAGAAGATGCTACAACCCACACTGTAGTGAATTCTAGTACGTTCCTTCAAGAGCTTTGTGGCTTTTATAGAAAAATGTACTCACCAAGAAGCATTGCTTCCTTGTTATCAAGAGTCTCAGCATACTTAAAATACAGACACCATGACCTTAAACTCCAAGCGACATAGCCATACAGGTCATATAAGTGTGCTGCCACCTCTATGTAACACAGTGGACCCTGAGAAGCAGCAATGAACCCCTGTAACATTTGCAAGAAATTCAAATTCTATAGAAAACTCGGCCTTGAATAAGAAATTCCAAAAACCATTTACCTCAGAGTTAATGTCTCCCTGGCAACCTCCATCATACAGGAATTTAAAACCCCAATTCCTATATTGCAGAGGTTAAACAAAACAAAAGAAAACATTATTTCTATTTTGCAATGTGATAAAATCTGCAATAAATGAACACAAAAATCAACGAAGTGCCCAAATTACACACATCAAATGTGCAAATTCCAGTTTAAAAAACTTTTTTCTTCTTGTCAGTGAAGCAAAAGGACGACATGTTGGGGATACTGTGTGTATGAATACAGTCAGAATATGGTTCATTTAAATACAAAATGTAAAAATTCCACCTACCTGCATCTGGCAAACTATTGAACTTACATTCTGAAGTGCACTGGTCCAGCAGGCCACGGCTTCATTCAGGGTTTCAAGTATCTGAGACTCATTTTCAAGGTTGAGATTCCTGTAGGCTGGTGTTACATCACATGTCTCCAGAGGATCATGGTTATCTTCCTGCTGGGACTGAAACTTGGTTGGAATTATGTTGCTGCTCAAAACCTCTTCCTAAAGCAAAAATATTACATAACCATGTGTCACCATGAAACTACTAACAATGTTTCTCTCAAAATACACATTTATAACTTAAGAAGGATCTATGGAATGTAAATAAATTCTATTCTATTCTACCTTTTAGTGCTAGTAAAAATAACATATAGTGGTTCTTCATATGTCATTGCAGTTCCTAACTTTAATTTATAAAATTACAAACTCAGGATTATGAACATGTTTACAGGAAAATTTGACATGTCACTAGTTTCAGTAACTTCTTGAAACAGTTAATAAAAACCAGATACATACCTCTTGCTTTAATCGCATTAATCTTAGCTGACAAAGGAAAAGCCAGTAATATAAATTTCCAAGCAAACACAGGTACCGTTCCTTTCCAATTTCGACACTTTGCTGAAAAACAAATAAAAAACATATTTTGTAAAAATAAAAAAATAAAATTGAGACTAACTAGTCATTTTCAATGATAGTAATACAAGGAAAGTATAAAAATGACAAAGGAAAATTTAGTATTCACGCTGTACTTGGAATTACGAAAAAATCACTGCAATAATTTCACATTTTAGTTCTGCCTGCTTAAACCAGATCACATCCTCAAAAGTACAATATGTAACTTACATTTTCTTTTTTCAGTGTTTCCAGGATGTTCTTTACTGAGCATACCACATCTGAAAATTCTTCAGTAGTGCCACTGATCCAAAGGGAAGGAAGGTATGCCAACAGCCCTTCAACTTGCATAGAGCAGTTCGGTGACAGCGAACACAACTTGTTATATGCAGCCTGAATACATTGCCAACTTGAAGAACTACAAGAAATACAATGGATGTACCTTATAACAATATTATATCACCTTTCATGGTAGGCTTCTTTATGAACAGTCTACCCTCACATACCAGGATTTTGAAGGGTGTTAAAAACAAAATCATGCTCTTATCCTTTCATATCCATGTTGTAACTACTTGCTTTAACATTATTTTTCATAGGTTACAATAAAAATTGTTCTCAGTCTAAATTAAAAATTTCCCATGTTTCTACTTATACTGAAAATATAATATATAAAAAATCGAAAGTTTTGGGGAAAAACCTGATGATGAAGGCTTTGAACTAGTAGTTTATCGTGTAGCCAAAAGATGTCTATTAACGTTGTTACTATCCCTCTGATATATGAGGAAAAAGTTTTTTAATCTAAGACAGATGCGTGGTAATGAGATACACATCACAGGCAGATGGCTAACGCTGCACCACGACCATGAAAGAAGTAGCAAGTTTACTGCTATTCAACAGCATCTCAATAAATAATTCTTATTTTACGTAACAAAATTCTTCACCAGAATCAATACAACATAAACCACAATAACAACACAATTATAATAATTTCAAATAACAATTGTTAGTTGTTATCTACTTTCATATGCAGAATATGAAGTTGCCTTCATTAATATTTGCCTTTCTTCCATGTGATATCTTACTGAAAACATTTAATTTATCACAGTTTTACTTACAGATGTAATATGCATATACTGTGCTTAAGAAATATATATATATATAAAAAGTATACTTACATCAACAAACTGTAGGCTTCCAACTCCCAAATCAATAACTGTGGAAAATTAACTGATTCTAAGCCAATATTAGGATACAATATTTCTATCTTCTTGTCATCCTTTAAAATATCATAAATTGTCAATGTCTGTGTGAAGAGAAAAGAGGAATAAAAGGCATTAAAACAATTATATGACTCCACAAAAAAACTTAAAGTAACAAAAATGAAGCTTTTTAATAATGTTCCTCAATTATAAAACGTCTGAATCATGATATGAATAAGTTACAGCCAGTGCTAAAAGAGTATCTCGTATCTCACTCCATCTACTCCATAGAAGGGCATACCTCGACCAAAAATTCTCAGCTGTTATACACACATGTAAGCAACAGTGGTGATGATTTCTTGCACAATTATTTTTGTTGTCATACTATAGTTGAATGCAAATAATTGTCGTAACTATGCAATTCATAAATGTATTAGAAACAACTATTGTATTTGTGCTATGACATCCTTGTTTTAGGCCTATGAAAGATCTATGGAATGTAAATAAATTCTATTCTACAAAACTGACCAAACTTGGAAATGGTTCTTAATAATAGTTGAGTAAAATTTTCATATGAAACATTTTCACACTATAGTAAAAGCAAAGATGGCTGCCTTCTGGGTTCTTGCACCATGTAGTCTGGCAGAAGTTACATGGTGCAACAACCCAGAAGACAGCCATCTTCAGACTCACCGCCGTGAATGCAGATTCCATACTCAAAAAGTGGTTCTCCTAGAGCAAGTCTTCCTCAGACTGTATGCACTTCACTTGCAGTGTATATTACACATTCTGCATTATCCCACTATTCATTACAACAATATTACCAAAAGAGGAATATGCTTTTCTTAACGCCAAACCAACCAAAGATTCAACACATATTTATTTATGAAGGGATTTAGCATATATGATGCTGTGGGCACATTCACAAGTTATAAAAAAAAATCATAAATTATAATGTGGGCACATTCACAAGTTATAAAAAAAATAATTTTCATAAATTATAATCTTTACAAACCTGAATATTTTTATACTTCTCAGCAGATGCATAATTCTTAATTTTTGCCCACTGTTGCAAAAATTTGTCCTTTAAGTTAGGTAAGATAATCAGACCAACAGCTGCAGTCCTCAGTGCTCCTTGGTAATTCTTCAGATCTTTGTAGATCTGCACCAAATTCAGCATCCCTAAGCCCAGTATTCCATCCTTAGCCTGTAATAATTTAATTAAAATAAGTATTGGAATGTGGTCTTCTGGGTTATGAAGCTGCGTAGTCTTGAATGACCACAAAACTAAGTGACATCACAAAAATCAGTTCTGGTAAACACACATAATGCTTGTTTAAGAAGTGGGGATGAGAGCTGTCATTGTTTACAATATTTTTTCAGTCAAAGCTCATCACAAGGGCTTTCCAGAGTTTCAATACATAGGGAAAACGTATGTAATGTTGCCTCTGGTGCTTTTAACCAGCAGTACCAGGCTGCTGGCCAAAGTTCAACTTCATGACTAACAGTTTAGCAAAGCATGGCCAGCTGCAGTGTGTATAAACTGTGACACATAGATGATAAAGGTTAATTAAGCATGTGTATGGAGCAGTGCAGGTAAACGTCAACACATTCTTCATGTCATCCCTAGACAGGGGTGAGTGGTTCACTTTATATCCCACCTGCTTTACCTCTGAGGAGTGGACAACAGTTCCCCTCTGAGAGAAGACCCCAGAAACAGTCGGAATATCGTGGCAAAGAGGAAAATTTGTGCCTTGTCAGAAATCAAACCCCAAACACCTAGTCTGTAGCCTAGTCACTATAATGACTGAGCTGTACATAATTATCTAATATTCTGAATGTTTCAAGATGTCACATCTGCGTTAAATAATGATCCATCTACCAACTTGTGCATTTATGTAAAGAATACCAGTTTCACTGCTGGCTTATATTGGGAAAGTTTTAAAACTACTTCCACTGTGAGAACAACATCAGCAAAGAGGAGCATAACATAGACCTGTAGCAAATTCAGCTGCTTCCAAAATTTGTCACAAATCATTGTACCGAAAATTTCAGGCCTAAAAACACAACAATTTTCTGGCTATAAATATAAAGCAAATAAGATTACTATTCAAACACACAAGCAAACAATACAACTTTTGAAGAAGACTGCTTTCTGCGATGTTGCACCGTGTAGTCTCATATAAATATCAGAGGTGCTTACTGCCTCCAACATGAGGGCAATAAGTCCCTGATGATTGAAACAGTAAGCACCTCTGATAAATCAATCAACTTCTGCAAGACCACAACATCCTGGAAGACAGTGATCTTCATACATGCTGTGATGAGAACTTTAAATCTCACTACGTAACTTTTCTCAACACAAGAACTTAACAGACAACATTAAATGGCTTAGACCCTGAATAAGACTTAGAAAAACATATTTTAGAAATCTGAGTTTAGGTTTACAAAAATAAATTTCCATAATAAACATTTCACTTAAATGGTAAAACTCATATTTACAGAGCACACATGCACACACACAAAATCTTGGAATAAATAAAAAAATACAACCTCAGGTGATTCTGGTTGCTCTCCAAACTGAATACATGTCTGGCAAAACTTTGAAAAAAACTCCTTGGATTCAAGCATTAATCCAGCTGAATTACAGTGAACACCCAAATTATAGGTCTTTATCCCTAAAATAAAGAGAAGATAAATTGGAACACTTTTAAAATGTCACACTAACACAATTCAGTTTACTGATAGTATGAAGATGGCTGTCACCTGGGTTGTAGCACCGTATAGTCTGGTAGAAATTTACCAACGTTTCAAAGGGCCTTGCTGCCTCCATCATCAGGTCAATGAGTGACTGCCCTGATGGAAACATTAGTAAATTTCTACTAGACTACACAGCACTACAACCCACAAGTCAGCCATCTTTGGACTAAAAACTATAATAACACAAAAATAAATACATTAAAATTATAAAAAATTTACTACACTGTGGAGATTGGCTCTGTTTTCATTTTCAGTTAGGACCCATTATTGTTGTTGTTGATGGTCAGTGATATAAAATACATTATTAAGAAGAACGCAACTGAAAATACAAAGCATTCAAAGATAACTTTAAACAGATTCATTATGCAGAAGCCTTGGGTACCAACCGCTAAATGTAATGTCTCCGAACAACTTCAAAACACTTACCACATCTCTTCCAGGTCTCTTTCCATACAGGGCAGTTTGCTTGTTTCAGTGTCTTTATTCCTTCAATAGCCTCATTCAAAGCAGTTATTGCATCAGGTAACAAGCTAGTAAATCCTTTTAACTTTTTACCAACTGATGACATGACACAATTAACCACAATGGTAAGAACATTTACTGATGATACCGTATCATTATTAACAGGACACTCCTTGCCAGAAGGTAGTGTGCATTTCACACACTGGCTTCTCAAAAGCAGCTAAAAGAAGAATGAAAGTTGTGTTTAAGTATAGCCAATCTACAAAATCATATTAAAAGTGCAATTAATAAAACACCCCACTTAATGGTACCTGCACCTTGTCGTGGTGGTGGGGCTTGAGTACCTCAGTGACCCCAAGAGCTACTGGTAGGGCCTCCCTAGACAGATTGGTCGAGGGGGAGAGGTCAGACTAAGACAGGTACCCTGGTCCTCCAGGTTGGTGGTTGGTCGCAAGGCTAACAACCTTGCACCGTAAAAAGAAAGATGTTTCGAAACCTCAATCAAAGCCTCAGACAGACGGACCTAGCAGAGGCCCGAATGGAAAAGGAGAATTGAGGAGGCCATGAACCGAATGCGGACCGGAGAGCCATAGAAGAAGAAGATTAATAAAACAAGCACTACTACCAACTGAACTGTTAAAATGCTCAGTTCAAATAGGATGAATAGGCCTGCTGTTAGCTACAAATTAACAATTAAATATCTATGTAATAGTAATAAAAATCATAAAGAGTGTATGGAACAAAATTAACTTCTATATATTATAAACAAACATGTTTAGAGTACTAATACTAATTAGATTTGTAGAATGTACTGTACAATGTGTGACAGATGGTGTCAGGTCTTTGGAAAATTCACTGTTGTTTTACTGGTCAAAAAATCAGAAAATCTTGGGAATCAATGTTTTAGATACCTGAACAGGTCACAGTATGCACACTTTGTGTTAAACAGAAAAATTCCTACTTGTTTTTAGATACCTGAACAGGTCACAGTATGCGCACTTTGTGTTAAAGAGAAAAATTCCTACTTGTTGATTTCAGAATTGTAATCTTCACATAAATATAATAGTACATTTAGGTTTACTTACAGCTCTCTGGCACATGACATTGACATAGTTCCACTATTTTCATACATAACCTTGTGACAGTATTAGCGGTATTAAAAGAAATATGCAGAAAGTCTGACATTAGATAACCATATCATGTACCAAATAAGCTCAAGTACATGGTCACTGTATTGTAACGATTCCTTAAAATTTTACATAGTTACACATTACCAACAACAACACGTAGTACAGACAATTTAACCAGCTAACTATTTATCTTACTATTACACTACTAACAATTACCTTTGAAATGCAGAATATGAACTGAAAGAAACTTTTCTGGACATAAAGACACATGTGCCGATTCCAATCTTCAGCATCTTGTGCTATCCAGTAAGAGCTCACACTGTGCAGTACACGAACTAAGGTTATACACGTCAAATCCAGGATCTTACAGCCCCTATATTCACGTAACAAACATTTTAAAACTCTGGTGCAAGCTTCCAACCTCTCTGCAAAATCATCAGGTCTTTCAAGAAATAAACTGAGAACATCTTCAAGGAACACACTACAGTTCTTACTGACCAGATCATTTTTATTCCATATACTAATGCACTTAAAAGTTTTCCTTATGACTTCCTGTGCCTCTATAAGATGTTTTGCATCAAACAAACTTTTCAATATGGAGGAAAGAAGAGACATGTATGACTTATATAAGTTGTCATAGCCTATCTTTTCACATCTTTCAGATTCTTCACAATATGTCAACTCCAAAATGTCAATCTGTAACTGGACAATTTGCAGATGATGTTCATCATCTGTCAGTTTCACACCATGAGCAAATTGTGTAGCTCTGTCCAGAACATGTAGCAAGTAAACTCCAATGCAGCATTTTAGAAACTTCAATGAATGCTTCACGATGTTAAGAATGAATGATATATCTGCCTTTCCTTCCAGGTATTCTTGTTTCTTAGCAACAACTACACGATGAAAGATATAATGGCAGTTGTAATATACACTACAGATTGTTTCTTCATCCACTTCACATCTTGTCCGTAAGATGAAACTGCTTAACTTTAAAGCTGCATCAATATTATTCTGAAAGAAAGCAAGGGCAGTGTGAAAGAAGGACTGCACATTTCACAATGTCTGTTTGTGGTTTATGTAATTATGTTGTCTGTAGCTCAAATTATATAGCATAAAATGACTTCAAAAATATATGGAAAGAAGCTGTTGTAGCCAAAATTCAAGGTATTATCTAGGCAACTACCTGGAAGAACTGAGGCAAACTACAAAAAACATTGGTCAGGATAGCTAATCTCCATACTGAGATTTTAACCCTGGACTTCCTGAACACAAAGCAGGAGTTTTAACTGTTCAACCACAATGCAATATTGATGTGCAAGTATGGCCAGGCCTGGAAGAACTGAGGCAAACTACAAAAAACATTGGTCAGGATAGCTAATCTCCATACTGAGATTTTAACCCTGGACTTCCTGAACACAAAGCAGGAGTTTTAACTGTTCAACCACAATGCAATATTGATGTGCAAGTATGGCCAGGAAAAAGGTCCAAAAAGGTCCTGTGTGTGTGTGTGTGTATAAAGTAGTGAAGATAACAACACAACCTGTCATTACCTGGTTAACAAAGTACTTGGTTATGTGATATAAACTGCAGAGAAACTTATACTTGTTCACATTAAGGTTCTCAACTTCTAGGGCCTCACAGCACATGTAACATAGATGGTAAATATCTCCTTCTCTTAAGTCTACACTGCCTCCTGTTATTACATTGGAAATCCCACAAAGCAAGAAGAGAGCCAATGTATCTTCATTTTCAGTTTCCAAACATCCCTGAAAGAAAATATCCACATTAGTAAAATAGAACTTTGATCCCTCTCCTTAAAACTGACCATGAAAAGACCACCATGCTGCAATTTCAGAACGGGTTTTCCAAATTATTACATTCAATAGAACAGTGGGAAAACAGATTTCACATAAACTTCTAGCATAAACGATAGAGTACGTTACCGCCACCATACAAAATACGCAATTTTAAATATACAAACCTGTACGTCATTTATTACACTTCGTATTTGTCCACACTGCAGGCGTTTCAGCAAGTCCTGCTTTTGCTTGGTTAATACCATCTTATCTAAAACTCACGTAGGCACAATCAGAAATTTTTATAAAATATACGACCTTCTACATAAAGCATAACATTTCTCACATGATGTAAAATATGAACACTACAACCGCCCTACTTTTTAAAATCACTACTAACGTTAAACACCAGAGTTCGTCGGTGGAGTAAGCATGGGTTACGTTCGATTGAAAAACAAAGCAGAACACAAAGACAAAATATGTACACAGATGCACGTAATGGTATCATGTTTTCACTAACGCCACAAGTAAAACAGAAGATTCTCAGACATTGTAATTATGCCTAAAGGGGCTTTGCAGCGTGTAGACGCGTAACATACGGTTTCAGCACAATTGAAGACAAAAATTATTACACAGATGAACTCACTGCCCACGTAACTTTGCAAAGCACCCCGCGAGGTTTAAATGTGCGCTCTCGTAACGTGGGTGGCGCAGTAATACAAAATTATGTAAAAGGGACGTTTGATTCACTTTTGAAGGATTTGAAAACTTTATAAACCAACTCGTTGAAGCCAGTTATTTCACTATGTGTTGTGATAGATGTGCAAATGTGTCTAAACTCAGCCAGTTATCTATGTTAATCAGTTTGATAAAAATTCGTTACACAAACCAAGTTAAATTAAAATAATTTCTTCCAACACAGGTACTTATCTATTCAGTTTTTATTTATTTAATGGTTTTATCAGTAATTCAGACTATATAGCGTTAAATAATATGATTAATGGTAATGTATGCAAGGATGCAGTTGAGAGCTAATTATGGTACTATCCCAACATTTGCCTTGAGGGATGATGTCCATAATCATAGTCATGTTTACACACCATCAACAGAAACATTTCGATTAGTGTAAATTAATTGGTAAGATGAAATGTCTCAAATTTTTCTTTTTAAATTTATTTATAATATACATCACTATGTATACAACAATCTTAAATAAGTACTTTTCTCACAAAACTGGAAATTAACACTCATTTAACTTTCCATTATCTTCCTTATCATATTGGGTTGGGAGATGCAAAACGTACTCTAATCCTGATGTAAGTAAAGTACACCTGTTCCGACAACAATGGCTGTTCAATACTCATGAAAATGTTTCTTTACCAGTCTTTCAAAGAGACATAACTAGCATATTGTTATAAAGGTACATCATATCCATATGTCCTGCAGATACCTTCCTTGACTCTGCAGTTCAGTCACCATTAATCTGGCCTTCTGTTCTTCAATATCTGAAAATTGAAAATAAATTCACCTGTTCATATATAAAGGACAAGATACCAGAAACAGAGAAAAACCACTCTGTAACAAAGACCACCATATACTAAAGAAATACTTACGTTTTTCACCATGTTAATGCATATATTTAATGTTAAGAAGTAGATTCAGTTTAATATTTTATATTTTCTAAACCTGGTTGAGGGTCCAGCGACTCAAATGTCTGATATATATAAATAAAAAAGGAGCGTCTTTCATATGAAACAGTATTTCTGCCAATGCCATTGAAAAAGTCTAAAAAAAATATCTACCATGCTCAATGTTTTCACACACACATCAGAAAAGATAAATTGTTCACCTGCCTTAATGTTGATTAAAATGTCTACCTACAGAGCACAATATTATTCTTTATTATTATAGCTAAACATATTAACTATTTTAAAATATAAACATTGCTATTATTTAAAATGTACTCTGATAGAAGTTTGACACAACCTGATTCAGAAAAAGGCACAAAACATTTTTATTATACACACACACAATTTTTTTATTAATGGCCATCCTTCATACACTGTCATTCCTTGTTATGTAGAAAATTCACCTCATAACATCATAACACATTAAAAATATTGTCAAAATCACTCATTACTATGTCACAAGTTGAATGATAGGATATTATATGAATAATGAATTAGAAATATGGAAGACAGCAGCAATGATCTATTCATGGTAATATCCCAGAAAAACTGAGGAAATCCATTATGAACCTCAATCAGAATAGTCAGTTTTGAAGCCAGATTTTCACCTGGGACCTCCCGAATACAAAGCAGGAGTTCTGACCACTTTTCTATTATGTCTGGTAAAGTTATATACATGGCAAATTTAAGATCAAAATGTGAAACAGCCAAGATTAGATGAATTCTAATAGCACAGTGTCATAAGAGGCTTCATTTACATAATATGTGTACACACTAATGTAAAGTGCTACAGAAGTGTACAGTCTTGGTTTATATGGGAAATGAAAGAACAGTAATACCTTTTTCATTCTGTATCACTGATACTATAGCATCAAGTACATCTTTTCCCATATTCTTAGCATCACCACATACATATATTGAACTGCTCTTTTCAAATACTTGTTTAACAAATCTTCTGCCACAAAGCTTGATGTTATCCTGCAAACAAAGCTGAGATTGTAAGACAGTATGTGGAACAGTGTTACTTAAAATAAGTAGCATTTAAATATCACACAATTTCAATTCAGGTTACAGTAACATCTTGTAGAACTTGGAAATTATGTTCTTGAAAAACGCAACATTTTGCAAAAATAATAAAGAGAGAAAAATTAAAACCAAATGGGGCAAACTGGTTGGCAATGTCACCACCAACATTATTATAGGTATATGTCCATGAATTTATTTAAGTATTATCTCTTTTATTGTTTTAAAGAAAATTCTCTTTCAGTATAATTCCAACACCTTCACTTCATTATGAAAACACAAGAAGCACTTAGAATTGGACGTTTGTTTTATAAAAAGCATTTTATGCTTCTATTTTCATAAATTATATTTATATCTTGATCTCAAGTTAAGAAGTCCTTTTTCTTTACACACAAAATAATATATACATAAGTCCACAATTACTGCCTCACACAAACATCAGTGAGCAGATAGCCTCAATTATTTAATTTTTCTTCTCTCTACACCAAAAATTTGTTAAATTCATGCTGGTCTCAAACTTACATTGTCAATGATAAAACATTTTTTGAATCCTGGGATTTGATTAAACATGTTTTACCTAAAATGGGTAGTATCTCAGGAAATATATAATTTGATATTCTTTACCACTGCATTGCAGAAAGAGAAAAAAACATGACAATTGTAGTGTCCAGCAGCCTAACAGTAAAACATTAGAAAGAATCACATTTCATTAACAGGTAAATAATGAGAAAAACTGTATAATGTGTACCTGAACATAATGCGGCACATTTTCCCCTCTTTTTTCACGTGAAAATGATACAAAGAGATGAGTCAAAATTCCATCTTCAATATATTTCTCCAACTCTGATCTATAACAATTTGAGAAGACAGATGAAAAAAGATCATTTAAATAATCAAAATACAAACTTTCCTGAGAAGGTAAATTATTGGGGAGTAACAAGAAGCCTGGGAAATGATAATTTCTTCACTATCCTTCCAAACACACTTGGCAGCATACTAAAATAAAACCTTTACCATGACGCTTTACTGGTGATATATTACAAAGAAATAATTAAAAATTGGGCCCTACTCTTGTATTTTATTCTAATAAGTTTTGAATCTCATGCATGAATAGTTTTCCTTCGGACAATGACGGTTTCTAAAAAGGAATATGGTTTGCAAGATCTCATACATATAGCCACATGGAATGGAAGATTATAAAATTTGACTTTAACCAAAAAAACACATTCAGATCGATGTGTTGTGAAAAATGCCTTGCAAGTGTCTTCACATGTTGAAGGACGGCTGAGAATCTTATGCTCCATTGTATAAAGTGTTTTATGGTGTGTGAATGCCACTAATGCTGGGTGAGAAGATAATGCATTCAGCTGCAATAAGTTGTGAATGCCACTAATGCTGGGTGAGAACATAATGCATTCAGCTGCAAAAAGAATATAAAGAAAGTTCAGGAAATGACAAGAAAAAGTACACAAGAACCCAGTAGATGCACAGCAAAAATATTCAGTATCTATCTTCATGAAGAGGAAGTCTCATCAGTAGAGTACCTTGAGCCATCTCTTTACTTCCCAGTCTGCTTATCTGTGCTTTGCAAGACATTCCCATGCATCAAGCACAGGAGATTTTCAGATAAATTCCTCAGGCAAATTATCATGAAAGTTTCTTCACCCTTAAGTTCTAACGGGCTATAACCATTTCTTCTATAAATTTGTATTTATATCCTCAACTAATTTTACCAGCATTTCAAGAAAAATAGAGTAAGTTAAACTCATGATAAATGGAACAGGGCGTAAACTACATATATTTTAAGCGTGTGTTCTCCTAGGTTGTAAAGCTAATGTTTCAGAAGAATGATATATGGTCTTGTAGTTGATTACCAATGTTTCTCTGACAAGCTGTTAATTATTTACAAGACCACATGACATCACAACCCATAAGACTGCCATCAACATCTTCACTACGAGAATGTCGACTCTCAGACACATTTAAAACTAACCTGTACAGGAAGTCCTTATCCTCAAATCTGCAACCAAAGAACAACCAAACTTCTCCGAAGACCAACTCACTTGATCTTCGTTGTTTTGCCTGTCGATGCCGAAGGAAACCTATGATGGAATGTTTAACATGACTGTGTTTACAATAGTCTCTGAACTAACAAACGCTCAATGGTTAAGTTCAAAGTTTTCTTTCCAGTCAGTACTGTGCTTTGACTTTCATCATCAGACACACATGAATTTTCCACATTACAAAAAAGAATTCTCATCATTCTATGCCATGACCTTAGCCCACTTACCCATAAAGGGGGCGACCCCTGTTCCTGGTCCTATAAGGATTATCGGCACTGAAGGATCTGTTGGAAGATTAAAACCTGTACTTTTCCTCAGGTACAAAGGAACCTGAAAACAAATATTCTTAAACTATCTGTAATACGATTACCAAATACTGGTTTAGAAATATGCTACTTGTCTTTAATCAAATATCCAAATAAAATTTTTATTTTGTATCAACATTCTTAATTCTTCTTCAAAGCTCTCCTTTATACTGCCACTGTTAATAATAGTGACCATACGAAGGATAGCTTTTAGGAAGATTCTGTGTGAACAAACCAAGGATAACACAAACAGGGCATGCACAGGTAAGATAGGAATACTGGTACATTCCAAATTTTTGGTTGGAAAATCTGATCAGAAGAAATCACTTGAGAAACCCACAAAACTGGGTGTAAGGTTAAGGAATGGATTCATCTGGCTCAGGACAGCCCAGCAGTGGGCTCTCATGAAGATGATAATGAAACTTCAGGAACCCTAAAAGACAGGAAACTGCTTGATTAGACAAGTGATTGTTGGCTTCTCAAGAAGGAAGAGGTCAAGACATGGAGGAACTGAGGATAAGCACAAAAGCCCTTGGTCACAAGAGACAAGTGTCTGGGCCAAAATTTGTACACACACTACGACATACAAACCAAAACTGAGATACTAGCCACTCAACAGCAGCAACTGGTCTACGACAGACAATATCTATGAATTCCAAAGCTAAAAACTCACTCAGCAACAAGAAATTTCACACGGAAACACAATGATGTCCTGTTACAAGCCTGGATGTTCCATTAACATTCAGATTAGCAATGATAAATCATTCTAAAATCAGTATTCCCACCACAAGTAGTCAGGTACATATAACATATAACTTGGGTCTCATATTTTCTTTTAAAAAACAGTATGAATAATTCATTTCTAAAATCTAGTGTACACTTCTCATTTTTAAGATGGGTACCATGATTGTATGTTAAAAGATACAAAAATTAAGCTACCTTCAACTCCACGAATTCATCCTTCAAGGTTAGTCTCTTTAGTTCTTCACTGACAGAGTCATGAGGACTTATGACAGTCTGTATGGGTCTAGTCAGATAGTCCAACCATCCAGTACAGGTGCCATAGCGGAAACCAGCCCCATGTTCTGATGCAGGAAACTCCAAAAGGGAATAAATAATGTGCAGTTCTGTACAGCCATTCTTCTTCTGGAGTGGAGATGATGCAATTGAATATGGACGGGCCTATGGATGAGAAATAATGAATATTTTATTTCTTTGTTAACAGGTATGTTCTGACTCTGGGAAACAATGCCCCAGACACTGCACTACAGAAAATATAATTTCACACTACATAAAAGGAAATATTTCTACAAACAACACCGTAATACCTGAAGGCGAGGTAAGTGTTCCAAAAGTACTTCAACTGGAGGACAGCAAGAAGGGAATGTTTCTAGTAGGTCAAGCAGAGTATTTCTTGCTGTGACTACAAATTCTGAGTAGTCAGCACTCCCTTCCTTGCTGCACAGTTTCTCTAGTCTGCATCGCTCGCTTGGGTCTTCTGTGTGGGCAGCCAGTACTCTGAGAAATGTCTACAGTAGCAGTAATTATCATTATATACTAAAGTGTTTAATAATAGGGCAGTAATTAATTAC